GCTGACCCCCCCATCTCCAGTCCTGGAAAGGCCACAGGAGGGACATGACCGAGGGTTTCACCAGGACTGGGGCCCGTGCACGGCCCAGGACAGGAGGATGCAGCTCAGACCCGGGCTTCCCAGGGCAGACGCAGCCCCGGGAGGCACAGTCGAGGGGCTGACCCTGGCAAGCACAGGGGCCGGGGGCCAAAGAGTGAAGCAACCCCAGGCCTCACTGGCTTCTCGGGCCTGAGCAGAACGTCCTTCCCAGAGGGCGGCACGGGGTCCAGGGAGGTGACCCAGCGAGGGCTGGGGGTGTCACAAGGGTTGACACTGTCACCGCCCTCTGAGTCTGCAGGACACCTCCCAGCACGGCCACACTCCCAGGAGCAAACTCAGACTCAGCTCCGGCCATTCCCCCAAAAGTGGAGGCGTCTCAACTTCCGAATCAGACCAAGAACGCAGCCCCGGGAGGCACAGTCGAGGGGCTGACCCTGGCAAGCACAGGGGCCAGTCGAGGGGCTGACCCTGGCAAGCTCCAGGTCACACCAGGCACGGGATCAGGGACCCCAGTAGGCCTTTGCCATCAGGTCTCAGCGTGGCCTTCCCGACCCCAGCTCCAAGGGAAGGTCCCCACCGCTGGCCTGGGGATTCCACGTCCGCCAGCCACGGTCAGAGGCACTGTGCCTGGGCCCTCGCTGCGCACAGGGCCCGGCACATGGTAGGTGCCCGGGAAGCTCGTGGTGACCGAATGAACTGCGTGAGGCACTGACGGACGCCGTCCCCCATCCCCACCCCCAGGCACGGCTGCGGGCAACACTCACAGCGCAGCCGTCCACCAGGGCGCGAATGTAGGGGCTGTTATCGTAGGACATCTCCTCATCATTGGAGCCCAGGAAGCGCATGGCCTTGTCGTAGCTGCCCGTGGCGGCGTCCTGCCAGGCGACTGACTGGTAGCAGTTATAGGTGATGTTTTGGTGGGCGGAGGCGCTGAGCAGCCGCAGGAAGGTCATCTGGACCACACCCACGGGGTTGCCTTCAGTGTCCACATAGGAGAGCTGCAGGGGGACAAGAAGGGGCGCTCAGCAGGGAGGGGACCCAGGCTGCGCAGAGCCCCTCGTCCACACGGCCGGGGCTTCCAGAGCTTCAGCCACTCGCTGTCTCCTCTGGAGCGTGGGCCACGCCAAGAGCCCCACCTGGAGACCTGCTGCACGCCCGGGCCCCGGGCCCCGGGCCCCAGGCCAGCAGGCACTGGGCTCTCTGGGGGGTTCCCTGGAACACTGTGAACCATGCCTCATTCCTTTCAGGGACCTAGATAACCCGCCCACTCTACTTTACCTGGTTGGTCCCTACTCAGCCTCCAGGGTTCAGCTCATGTGCCTCTGCCTCCAGGAAGCCTGCCAGGGTTAGGTGCCCTCACCCACCTTGGCCCGGTTCAGTGTCCATCTTTCCTACTGGCTGTAACGCCCTCCACACCAGCACTGGACTCCCGTGTCAGAGGCACCTGGGGCCTGGTCTGCAGCCCTCCCTGGACCGTGAGTACCCTGAGGGCATGAGCTTGGCATGTACATCCCTGTCACTGTGCCCCGATGCCGGAGAAAAAAAGGTGCTCATTAGATCATGCTAATACATGAAAACCACTGGCTGATCTCTGTGACATACAAGGACCTGGCTGGGGCCATGAGAACTGGAGACAGGAAGGGCAGGTGGCTTCGGGGAGCAAGGGGCCTGAGGCATGGGGTCTTGGCCAGCAGACAGGAAGGCCGGCCTGTGAGAGGGTCACAGGACATACGGCCAAGAGCCAGAAGCCTGGAGGGACCAGGCACCATCGTGGAGGCACAGGGGAGAGGCCCTTCTTGCCCCTGCCCGGGCATGCGATCCAGTGGAAAGCAGAGTGGGCCGTGCTGTGGCCTGGGGTGGTCAGCCCACACTGAGTGGGCAGCCCGGGGCGCTCTGGTGGCAGGAGCCTCGCTGAAAGCCCCGCTCTCTGCCAGCAAACCCAGGGCAGCACCGGGAGACAGTGTTGGTTCTCCAGTGGCTTCTCAGCGTCGCAGGTCGGATGCACGCGGGGCTGAGAGCTCAGCCGGGCGCGGGCCAGTGCCAGGCGTCCCGAGAGACGGATCAGTTTCTGCGTCTTCTAAACTGCAGCTTTCTGAGCTGCTGGACACAGCAGGGGCAGGGACAGTCCTTAGCCCCTGGGACGAGGCGGGTCTCTCCTCTCCCTGAAGGCCCTCAGCGTGAGAGGCCAGGCTCTCCTCACACACCCAGCAGAGCAGGCTCGGCCCATCACGTCTCCCCGTCAGACGATGCACAGACAGACGTCAGGATCTGAGACCCGCGTTTCCCCTCCCTGCTCTGTCTCGGACCCTAGCCCCCAGCCTACCCTAAGAGAGCCGTCCTGAACACACGCGGGAGAATTTAAGCTGATATTGTGCACGTATGTATGTATGTATGTCTATATAGTTAGAGCTGAAGGCGGTGAGCCAGGCCTGGGATCCTGCCCTTGCCGCCGGAGCGGGGGGAGCGCAGAGCTGCTGGCCAGCTCCCCACACAGCCACCAGCCACCGACTTCCAGCCGGACCTTGAGGAGGGAGAGTGAATACCAACCGCAGTCTGGGCCATTAGCTGCTCCTCCTGGACGGAAGGCGACTGACTGGAGGAAGGACGCATGCGCAGAGAGAGGTGGGCAGTGCTGGACGCAGAAGGACCTGAAGCCCCCGGTGCCGGGCAGGTGGAGGACGACAGGCACGGCCAAGCCCCGCCCCACGATGGAGTCCCAGAGCCCCATCATGAGGCCCCGCCCTCCCGGGGGGATGCAGTTCTGCAGTGTCACCTTCACGTGGGGCGCCCAGGGCAGCAGGCCCAGAAAAGCACCTCTTTCTTCAGGGAGGGACCTGTATTTACGCCCTGTCCACTCTGATGGTCACAGGCTGCTAGAAATGATGCAGCAGGAAAATGCCAAAGACGAGCTGATGTTCCCCTAGACTGTCCCTTCACCTCCATCCTTGATCAAACTGTCTGCAAAACAGGACCCAAGCAGCAGAGGCAGGCTGTGGGCTGGCGGCTGAAAGTGGGTGTTCTCTACCCGCTTCCACAGAGCAACGGGGTGGGTGTGCGGGGCCCTGTCTGGAGGAGGCCACCAGCACGGCTGCAGAAAGGACCACGGCCCCGGCTCCTCCTGACTCCCGCGCCCACCCCCGCCCCCCTCTATCCACCCAGCTCAAGGGCCCCGGGCACTGCCTCCCCGAGTGGGCGCCCACTTCAGGTCCTTCTGCCTGCCAGTGGCTCCTTTCCGAGGACAGCACCGAGGAGGTGAAGGACAGGAGAAACAGCAGGAGAAAAAGGGGGCGAGGTGCTGGAGGTCCCCACACAGAGACGAGAGGAAGTCCCCAGACGTGGCAAGGTGAGCGCAAACCTTCTGGAAAGAGCCGCAGTGACTGGGAATCAAGGATACGGGCCGTGAGATATTAATGGAGCACAGAGCACCTCCAGACCTAGGAACGGGGGGTCCCCAAGTGCAGTGGGCAGAGGCCGCTGGAAGGCCCTACTCTGAGTCCTGGGGGAACGTGGCCCTGGGACCCCCCGGGGAGCCAACTGAGGGCAGAGGGTCGGGCCCAAAGTCGTGGACCCCAGAGCTGGCTTCTGAGTGAGGAGGACGTCCTTCAAGGATGGCCCAGGTGGGACACTAGCCGAAGAGTGAACGCAGGAAGCAAAGGGGGCTCTCGTGGCACCTGCAACGCGGCCACATCTGGAACCTAGTCCTTGAACTTGCCGGGAAGGGAGCACAGAACTCTGCACTTGATTCCGGAAACGGGCCCAAATCAAGAACTCCCGAGATGTTCGGGGAAAACACGCTGCCGCATGCAAGCAGTCGCTGGCCCCATATGATCGGGTCCAGATGGCCTCGGCCTCTATACCGGCTAGAAAAGCATCACATCCAGATCTTTAGAGGGATGTCAGTTGCCTTTCACCTCCAGGATGGCCTATTTAAGACTGGCTCCCCAGAAGTTAACACAGGGACCAGCATGGTCGTGTGCGATGCAGCAGGGAAGCCCAGGGTCCCGTCGGCAACCGGAATGGCCCCTCGGCCCCCAGCCACAGCAGGGGCAGGGAACAAGTAGGACGGATCCTGGAAAGAACTGGATGGTTTAACGGTCCAGGACCCACTTCATCCAAGCTGCCCGCTAGGACTTAGCAAAATAAACCCTCCACTCCTGGTGTCTCTGGTCTCAATTCCTGGCGGCACCCAGCTGGGGCTCTGAATGCCAGCTTCGTGTCCTCCACCTGAAGAGACAACCATCCAGCTGCTCCCGGCTATAGTGAACCCTCGTCAGGGTGGCAGGAGGGGCCGGCCTGAGTCTGGCGGTCATGGCCGTGGAGCAGTTTGGCCAAAGGGCAAGAGCGGGTGCGGCGCTGGGGGCGATTAGTCCCATGCAGAGCCGAGCCAGGCCGTGCCGCAAGCAGGCAGCCCCGCGGCCACTTACCAGGGACCCTCGCTTGTACTGACTGTACCAGGTAGAGGGCTGCTCTTTGGGCCAGCGGGCCATTTTACTCTGCAAGATACGAAACGGGTGGGTTTAACCGACACTGCACACAAGTCGGAGGCCGTCTTACCAGTTTGCCACGCTTGAATTCACTGAACCAGGAGCCCGGGTTTTCTTTGGGCCAAGAAGTGATTCTGGCCTAAACATCGAGGCGGGAGGTGGGGAGGGAGAGAAACAGAGAGAACGACAGTGTTACTTCCGCCTTCACGAGCAATGCTCCCACGTCCTGCAAACACGCGTTCTCCCCGCCCAAGCGGGCCTGCGTCCTGCCCTCACGGAGCTGCAAGGTGGCCTCCTGGGAGAAGATCCCTTAGGTGCACCTAACTCCCCCAGAGCTGGGCACTCGCTCCAGGATGGAGCCATGCCCGCGATGGGGACGGGGGAGCCCCGGTGCCTTCCAGGCGCGAGCACCTGCTTCACGTGCGGGGTCAGAAGAGCCTGCATCTGATCAGTTCTGTGTATCCGGCACCTAGGACAGAGCCTGGCACTTCGTGACTGCAGAAAAATGCTCGTGGAGTGAACTAATGAAGGGGGGAACGGGTGGATTCTCACTGATCTCGCCCAGATGACAACAGTAGTGATAATAAGACCATTTACTACTGATAGGCTGAGAGCAGACAGGTGGGCATTCCCTGATTGATCCCCTGATCTGGGGGCGTGGCTCCATCTCCAAGGCCTCTACCTGCAGACAGAATGGGCAGGAGACCCTACTGAGGTCCGGCTGGGTGTGAGGTGTGCGTGTGTGTTTCTGCATAGGATGTGTGCATACGTGGTGTGTGTGAGCGTGGTGTACGATGATGTGTGTGTAGCGTGTGTGCCGGGTGTGTGGTGGGGCTTTCTCTCTGGGGAGAGCGCCCAGAGGTCCAGCCTGTTCCCAGCTGTCCCTCTGGTGCTCTGCCTGGGCGCCAGGTCCCGTTCCCCATTCCCTGGCTTCTCCTCTGAGCTGGCCTCGTGCAGGGGAGCCTGAGAAGCGGCCCCACTGGAAGAAGAGCAAGCCCAGCCTGCCCCCCGCCCCTCGGGACTCTCCCCTCTGGTTCCAAACCTGCTGCTGTCAGCGCTGCACCCGAAAAGCACGAAGGCCGCCTCCTCCCGGAGCAGGACCAGAGGCGTGGGGGCAGGTGGGTGCCTCGCCCAGACTTCTGCCCTCCATCCCCAGCCCTTCCGCCACCAAGGGGGCCCTGCAACCCGGGACACCGGGCAGAATGCCTCAACCCGCCCGAGGCTCCCAGCCCGTGGGGCCCTGGCGGTCAGCACAGGCGCAGAGGAAAGGCAAGAAGCAGTGGGGGTCACTCAGCGCCCCAAGCCCACCGTCCGCCTGGCTCCAGCACCAGCGAGGGCTCCTGGGGGGCGTCCTACTGGTTCTCCAGCAGCGAGGCCGTTTGCAGAGGGCAGACAGCAACAAAAGATGTGAGCCAGCATTTTTCCACTTGAATTTCCTCCTGGGCCTCTGCCAGATGCAAGGGTCCTGAGGTTTGAATTTCCTTGTGAACCACAGGGGTCTTGTTGCCAGGAGTGTGGTTTCCCAAGGATTTAAAATCCCAGGTAGGGAGAGCGTGAACATGAAACAGGGGTCCCCAAGGCATCCACGTCAGTGCAGAGCGCCTGTTCCTGCCGGCCCACAGGAGTGCCGGAGCTCCCCTCGGTGACAGTGAGATTTAGGGACAGGGCACCTCTCCCTCCAGAGGTAGTGGCTCTGGGCGCTGAGGCAGCTGGGAAGCTGAGGACCACAGGTTGCCCGACTCCTGCTGTGCCCGACCCTGAACCTGCACAGGTACCACGGCTGCGGCTCCAGGAACCCACTGCCCTCAGTGTGCGGCACGGGATGGGGAGCCGTCTGGGCGGGACATTACAGAGGAGGGTCTGTCCAGGCAGATGCAAAGGGCACTGCAGACAGTCTCCGCCATCTTCCCAGGTAGAGACCTCGCCCCCCCTCCTCACCTGTCCTGGGCCACAGTGGGCCTGGCCTCCAACGCGTGCTTGAGAGAAAGCAGCACATGCCTGCCACACAGGCCTGTCCCTGCATGCCATCCACATGCCACCCACACGCCATCCACGTGCCATCCACATGCCACCCGCATGCCACCCACACGCCATCCGCACGCCACCCACATGCCATCCGCACGCCACCCACATGCCATCCACCAGCCATCCACACGCCATCCACATGACACCCACACGCCATCCACCAGCCATCCACACGCCATCCACCCGCCATCCACACACCACCCACGTGCCATCCACCCGCCACCCAAGTGCCACCCACACGCCATGTGCCACCCACACACCACCTGCACGCCATCCACATGCCACCCGCATGCCACCCACACGCCATCCACCAGCCATCCACACACCATCCGCATGCCATCCACACGCCATCCACACACCACCCACATGCCATCCACCAGCCATCCACACACCATCCACACTCCACCCACCAGCCATCCACACACCATCCACACGCCATCCACGTGCCATCCGCACGCCATCCACCAGCCACCCACATGCCACCGCACACCACCTGCACACCCATCCACACACACTGGTTCACACCCTTCGGCACATACAGAGACCCCACCACAGAGGCGAGGACGCTGAAAGACCACAGAGGTGACTCAGATCGACACCCTACAAAATCTCCATGGATCAGAACCTCGCTAAACAGACTGTAAGGGAACGCATGGCGCTCAGGAGTGACTACCCAGGAAGCTGACACTAAGAATTTCAGCAAACGCCAGCTCCTAAAAGACGCATTTGGGTCACTTTTGCTCCCAAAAGTCCTTCCATGGGTTTCAGTTGCTCTGAGGTCAGAACTGTAGGGTCATTTTAGGAAGGATTTGACCAACCAGTGGAGAAATCCCAGCCCCGGGCGTGGTAGGGGGAAGAGAGCCACGAGCCAACCACCCCTTCAACTTCCACAAATGAGGCTGCACTAAGCCCGTCCCCTTGCTAGAAATTTCTTCCTAAGGCAAATTCAAGTCTACTTCTGGAGGAAAAGCCTTGATTTTAGATCTGGCCAGTTTCTGGTTTTCATTCTTAAAGCTGCATGCACGTGAAATACCTGGAGCCCTGGCCCGGCCCCACCGGGAGAGGAGGCAATGGAAGCGGGTACTCACCCCCTCGGACTTCTTGTCGGGGAAGACGCACGTCGACCCCCCGGCTGTAAAGTTGCAGTAGACTTTGAAGGAGTCCCTGGAGCAGCCTTGGTTCGGATCCACCCAGTATTCACCTGGATCGAAGGGTTAGGGTTGGGGTTAGGGAGGGAGGCGGGTCGGGAGAGCTGCTCCCTGGACAGTTCCAGAAGCAGCTGCCACATCTCAGTCCAGCAGTGACAGCACACAGCCCAGGCATGTGCCTCAGCACAGCCCTTTCTGGGCTTTGCCCGATGGCATCCTGCTGTTCCTGCTGGGCCCACGGAGCGACAGGGACAGACTCATCACCAAGAGCACAGCTGGAGCGTGAGGCCCACAGGGTCCAAGCTCTAGGGACCCGGGAGGGTGGCTCTGCCTGCTGGCAGGTGGATGGGAACCCAGAGGTGCTCCAGAAAAACTCCTAGAAGTTCACGTACTTAGGATCAGAGTCAACTGGAACCACAAGCACCCCTTAAATCTTGCAGAAGAGTTCATCCTTCCCAGAGCAAGCCAGCGTGATCTTATTTTCTAGCAGGTAGGTAGCGCTTGGCTATTAATGGTGAGAACGGGACTGATTTGCACTTTTATCATATTCCGGAGTCCAAATAGTGCGTTCCCAAGTACAACATCAAACACCAGCACGAGGACTCTTATTAACACTGGCAGCAGCTGCGGCCAACATCACGTCAGGCCCAAAGCATTTCATACATTGTATGCACGTCCTCTGATAGGTACGTGTTTTAATTCCCATTTTGTAGATAGGGATCATGGGACTCGGGTAGAGCAGGTTACCTGCCAGACAGTGGCTAAGATTAGACTAGACCCCGGCTCTGCGTGACCTCACAGCCTTGACCTCTTTCCCCGGCCTCCCAGGACGGCTTCCCCTCCTACTATGATGCCTCGTCAGGTGACAAGGGGGGCTTGCATCCCCACTGCACAGACGGGGACCTGAGGCCGAGCGAGGTGCATGCCCGCCCAGGCCTGGGTCCCTCCCGCCACACCGGCTGCTTGACCTCTTTCCCCGGCCTCCCAGGACGGCTTCCCCTCCTACTATGATGCCTCGTCAGGTGACAAGGGGGGCTTGCATCCCCACTGCACAGACGGGGACCTGAGGCCGAGCGAGGTGCATGCCCGCCCAGGCCTGCCCCCCCCCCGCCACACCGGCTGCTCAGCCCCGACCCCTCCGCTTGCCCCTGGGCCCACGGTCGCCCTACCGTCGGGGAAGTCAGGGTGGCAGAGCTGAAGGTCTTTGCAGGTGCGCGCGGGGTTCTGCTGCGTGCCCAGGGGTCGCTTCATCTGCTCGATCTCCAGCTTCAGCGAGTTGAGGGAGCCGAAGATCTCCATGCCGTCTGCGTAGTCCATGTAGTTCTCACCCTCCCCTTCGTCCATCAGCTGGCTGGCGTCGATGTTCCGCCGGGTCCTGGACGCCTGGATCGGCAGGGGCTGGATGACCTCGCCGGGGGGCCCCTGGGTGTGGAAGAGAGACAGTGACGGGCGGGAAGAGGACGAGGCGGCCCCGGGTGGCGGCCGGGCCGGGACCGCCAGGGCCACAGACGCTGGCCCCTCCTGGTAGTACAGTCCTCTTCCCTCTTCTCTGTCTCTGGAACATTCCACACCCATTCCCTCGGGGCCCCGTCTAGGGCTGCCTGCTCCTGCCACACACATGCATGCACGCACGCGCGCGCGCACACACACACCCCTCCCCCTTCCTCTCGCCTCAGCCAGACTTCCGAGGAGGAGGCACCCTGGGCTGACCTGTGTCCTGAGGAAGGGGACAGGCCCCGCCCCACCACACACGTTTCCTAAGGTTTTGGGATTGAACCACACAAACAGCTATTCCACGATTCCCTCGGTGTTAGGAGAACCCCCGTCTGGCTCCCAAGTGCTCAAGGGCTACTCACCGGCAGGCCAGGGGGTCCTGGCTGGCCTGCCTCACCCTTCGGGCCAGTTGGACCCTGGGGAAAAAGAGAAGAGAACCAACCTTGGCCACTGAGGCCTGATGAGACCTGAGTCCCCCTTGAGGTCTAGAATGATCCCCGGAAACCCCGTGGAGAAGGTGGAAGGACAAACCTAACATGCTGGGGCCCCTTCCCAGTCCCAGATGTGAGAACTGGACGCCCCAAGGAGGGGACTTAGGGGGACAGAGCCCTTTCTGCAAGGCAGGGAGCCTCAGTCTGAGATGACTCAGGGTAGAGGTGAGCTCAGGGCAGCCCAGCCACAGAGGAGGGGTGTGAACGACCGGCCCCATGAGTCAAGGGGGAAGGGGGACCCCAGGGTGGTTCTCATCCAAGGGGATGCACATCCCTCCCCCGGGTGGCATGGGCCGGTCAGGGGCAACACCACTTACTGAGGATCCCTTAGCACCTTTTGGACCAGGAGGGCCCTGTGGAGAGAGGGGCAGAGCGTCAGCTGGTGGGCGGTCCCTTCCCCCCCGCCCCCCCGGCACCAGCCTGCTCTTCACGCCCTCCTTGCGCCCATGTCCCCCCTCCAAGAGTCTACGCTTGTACTTGCTTGACAGAGGAGGTGGGCGGGGGCAGGCGCTCACCCCCATGGAGGCCAGGAGGGTCCCGAGTGCCCCGGGTCAGCCTCCCACCCACCCCAGCAGGGAAATCACAGCTCAGGCAGCCAGAGGCCCTGACACAGAGCCGCTCCAGCCCTTGCAGCAGCCCACAGCAGGGGCCAGCATCGGACCAGCTGGGGCCACCTTGGGCCACGTGCACCCGGGCCCAGGTGGGGCTCGGAGGCTGACTGGTTTCGGGCGAGAAGAGACTCAAGGCCGGAGGATGTCTTTGCAGTCTTGGGTCTCCCAGCTGCACTGGGGGTCCCCAGGCCGGTGACTAGAAGACGGGACCCCAACTCCTCACATCCGGGCCAGGCTGGCCCTGCTCATGCCGACGGGGAGGGCGGGGGGCCAGCCACCGTCTTCGCCGCCCCCAAAGTGCCTACCGTGGACTGTCCACACGCCCTACAATGCCCGGAGACAGAGGCTCCCCGCTTCTACTCCCCAGCCTGAAACCAGAGCCCAGTGACCCCACTTCCTTGTTTCCACTGCTCGGAACGCGGATGTGAATTAATGAGATCGACCCGTGGTGCGGGGCACCAGGTCCACCTGGGCTGTGGCCCAACCCCAGGGGGTCCCATGACTTCCCTGTAACTCAGGCCCATCCCCCCACTCTCCCAGGACAACCCAGGGAGCCGCGCGCCCCTCCCAGATACGCACCGGCAAGCCAGGGGGCCCCGGGGGGCCAATCGGGCCTGAAGGACCAGTGATACCCTGAAACGAGCAGAAACGCAGTCATCAGTGTTCGGATCAGGGGGGAGCTTGTCCTGCAGCCACGCCCCTCGGTTCTCGTTGGCCTCTTCCCCCAACACGGGCCGGCCACGTGCGAGGGAAGCCCTCACTCCCTGCTGGGCCTGGCAGGGCCTGAACACCTGCTGTGAGGCTGGGCACCGCCGCGCTGCTGCCCGCAGGGCCGCGGGGAGGTGGCTGAGTGTGAACGCTTCCTTCTAATGTTCTAATGTGAACCGTCCCTGCCTGGTCCCCTCTGGCTGCTTTCCGCTCCCGAAGCAGGGGCCCCGGGGCAGGGGGCGGCAAGTGTCCTGGGGTCCTGTCTGTTCTGTCTGTCCATCCAGCCTCCCAGTGGCTTTTCCCGCACTCGGACTTTGCAGCCTCTGAGCCGACCCTCTCTCCAGGTCTCGGTGCCACACCGTGGACGAGGCTGGGTTGGGGGGACGCCACCCCACGAGCTTCCTCCCTGCCTCACGGCTCTGCCGCCTCCAGCTCTGTCTCGGGCGTCCCGTCCTCTTCCAGGTCAGGTGCAGGCCAAGGTGGGCAAAGCACAGGGGCACGTGTGAGCCTGTCACACCTGGCTTGGGAAGCGGTCATTCACAGGCTGGAGTGCGGCCCCGTGGCCCTGACATGGGGACGGGAAAGACCGGCCTGCCAGGTCCCCCCGCCCCCTGCCTCCACTCGCTCCCCGCCTCTCCTGGCCATGGAATCCACTACAAGAGGCTCCCAGGCGCAGGACAGGCGAAACTTGCAGGCTAAGGTTTCCTTGGCTGTGGTTTCCTGGGGGCTTCGAACTCCAATTAGCTACAGGGGTTCCCAGGGAAGTCTAGGGTCAGGTGTGTATAAACAGGGTCAAGGTGGGAGCAAGGATGTGGCTGAGCATCACCAGTGACCTCCTGGACAATTAGCTGGGTCAGAGGGTCTTGCACAGAGTGGGGGGAAATGACCTTCACTTCTGAGGTCACCAGGACCATGAGGGCTAATGAGGGCCCGGGCTGGGCTCCAGTTCTGCCCCAGGTTGCTGTCACCTGGGTGAGCCCGTGCCCTCAGCTGTCCCCATCTTGATTTGATGGACTTGGGGACGTCCTTCCGGCTCTAACGAACCTCGGGTCTTTGGACACAGAGCCAGCATCCCACGCACCTGTTCTCCCTTAGGGCCAGAGGAGCCCTGGGGGCCGGGGAGACCGCGGTCACCCTTTTCTCCCTGTTCGCCCGGAGGTCCGATGAGCCCGATCAAGCCTGGATGTCCCTGTGGGAAAATGAAGGGGCATTTGCGGTGGCAACACCTCACGTCCAGCCACGTGGGCCAGCTAGACGTGGCAGCACATCTTTGCCTTGGGGGCTGCCTGGAATGGACACAGGCCCAGGGCAGGTGCCGTCCACGGGGCCTCGCAGGCCCCCGACTGAGGGCAGGGTCCAGGTCTCCAAGTCCCATGGATCTGTTCTCTTTGTGTCCTCACGCTGAGCATGTGACAAATGTGGGGGAAGGGCAACACCTTGCTGGGTTTGAACCACGGGAACTCGAGGGGCCTGAGTTTCAAACACAGTCACCTGGAGCCGCATCTCACCTTTTCCCCTTTGGGTCCAGAGTCTCCTTTGAGGCCAGGGAGTCCTGGGGGACCCTGTGGGGGAGGCAGAGGGATCAGAATTCTCGTTCCCAATCCCGCCCTCTGCCACCACCGGGGGCTCCTCGGGAGCATATCCGTGACTCACCATGGGGCCGGGGGGGCCATCGGGGCCTGGGGCTCCTGGGAGACCTTGCTCACCCTGAAACACAGTTGACCCTCCGTGTGAGCCCTGCCCTGGCCATCCCCGTTCCCATCCCCACCCCTGCTCCCCTCCCTCTGTAGCCGCGCCCACCCCCCCAGGCCTTCCCGGGGACCACTCACCACAGGGCCAGGGATCCCTCGCAGGCCATCGGGCCCGGGCTTCCCAGGGGCCCCCTGGGGGCCAATGGGGCCAGTCTTCCCAGGAGGGCCTTCCAAGCCGGCTTCTCCCTGCAGGGCACCAAGGAGGACACGGTGGGACCCCAATGCTTGAGGCTCTGGTCACCCCAGCCCAGAACCACTGCTCAGAAATCCCCAGGAGCCTTGGAGAGAACCCCAGATGCCCCCAGATATCCAGAGGCTGCCCCCGATTCTCCACATTCCTTATCAAGGCCGCCCTGCCCAATCCTCCATCCACCAATGTCCACCGTCAACTGTGCTCCCAGCCTCCCAGCTGTCATGGCCAAAATGGCAGTTACGGCTGGCGCGGAACTCCTGGTGGGCACGGCCGCCATGTCCTGAGCAGACGTGGGGCTGGACGAGTTCCATCACTGTCTCAGGCAATGCCGGAGCACCTCCAAGAAGAGGCCCCGCCCAGCACCTCCCGGGGCGGGGGAGTGGCCTTGAGGGCTCTGGGCACAGGGCTGCACCCTAACCTCACCGCATGGGCACCCCACCCTCTCCTCAGCCCTGACGTGGGCACCGTCACCATCTCTGCATCGCAGGCAAGGCAGCTGAGGCCTGGCCGGGTCAACGCCAGGCCCGAGGGCACCCAGCACTGGCCTCCCCCCTCAGGCTGGCGGGGCAGACAGAATGTGACAGCAGAGTCGGGGACCCCGGACCCAGAGGCGCAGCCAGCCCGCCTCCCTCTGAGCCCGACCTGCCCCTCTCCGCACGTTCACATATGTGTCCAGTCCCCACCCTTGCAGCCACCGTGCCCTCGGCACGCTCTGTAAGGTCTATGCATGGTCACGGTCGTGACCACGGCCGGGCTGAAAAGCACTTACCTTAGCTCCTTTCTCTCCCTGCCTGCCTTCGGGACCTATGGGGCCGGGGGGACCCTGGAAGGAGCAAGAGAGCGACACGTGAGACAAGTGGGTCCGCAGAAGCTCAGTGAGGAGCTGAGAAGGGGCCGTGGAGGTCACTCCCAGGCCCTTAGCACGAGGCCCAGGGCCTCCACGTCCAGAAAAGGCCCCTGGTCGGGCTGCGCAGAGGGCACTCCAGCAGCCTCCTTTCCTGGCTGCACACCAAGCGGCCAAGTTTACTGCAGCCCCAGAGAAAGACTGGATTATTCAGCTAGCTTGTTCTGACTTTTCCAAAGGTCTGACCCAGGGGAAAAGCAGTTTTTTCAGCTCCATGGGTGTTTTTCTCCCACGAAGGCTGTTACTGATGGCGTCAGCAGTGGGCTCATCTGAAATGGAGCGGAGCATCGACCTAGTGGGTCTGAGATTTGATGATGAGGCAGGAAGCTGAGCAGGGAATGCACTTCAAACAGAAGCACTTTCCTCCTCGAGCTGCCTAGGGCCCCAGGGTCCAAGCCGGGGCGGGGGAAGGGCACACTTCATTCAGGAGGTTGACGGGCAAGGGCGCCTTGCAGCATCACTCACCCTTTTTCCTGGAGGCCCAGATGGACCTGGTTCACCAGTAGGGCCCGGGGATCCCTGGTGTCAGAGAGAGAGAACAGAGCATTTAGGAAAATCAGGGACAGTTAAGCTAAGACGTGGCAGGGCTGGGTGGGTCTGAGGCTAAGAAAAACGCAGAGTTTTCAGTCTGATTTGTCCTCGGCCAGCCCTGAAACTGCCTGTCTCTCCTTTTTCAGAATTAGCCCTAAGTGGAGGTGGTCCTGGAATCCTCTGCTCTGACCTCTACACTCAGCCCGTGGGCTGCAGCGGCGTAGGGGACCCGCCTGCCACCTGCAGTTCTGCTACATTTGGGGAACGTTCCCACCACGCCTGCCAGCACCCCTTCTGCAGAAGTGGATCCCGAGGCACAGGGAGGGCAGGTGTTGTCCTGGCTCACCAGCTAGGAAGCGGTCGAACAGCAGTCATCTCTCCAGGGGAACTGGCCCCAGAGCCGGTGTCCCTAAGCTTTCTAAACTTGAAGGAACGTTTCAAAAAACTTGACATCAGGTGAGAGGCAACGTCTAATGTGAGCTCAGCTCCAGGGGCTGATGTGGAGAGAGTCTTTTGAGGAGAGCATCTGACTCCAATCGGGCAGAAACAGGTAATCCTGACGTTCCGGGGGGCACTTCTGGGGGGGGGTGGTTGAGGACGCCGGGCTCTGTGTGCAGAACCACTGTTGGGACTGTGTGTGCGTTTCCCCTTCTGGGAGGAGGGTCCCCAGCTTTCAAGGTTCCTCAGAGGGAGCTCTCGGCCCCCTGTGGTGGTTGAATCACTAGTCTAAGGTAACTGGGTGTAGGTTTTTCTCAGAAATGAACAAAGCAAGTTGTAAACCCCAAGCCCTGATACCTCCCCGAGGAGCTGCGTCAGGGTCCTTAGAGGTCCTGGGCGGACTCACCGTTTGTCCCGATTCACCGTCATCTCCTTTGTCACCAGGGGGACCGTCTTGACCCTGTGGGGCCAAAAGCAAGCTCATTCTGCCTCCTGGATGGCACCCGAGTTCAGGCACCAACACACAACGCGTCCCCAGTCCTCACCCCAAAATTAAATTCCATCCCAGAGGAGCCGGCGCCTAGGGCGCTCAGAAGTGGGAAAGGAGAATCCTAACAGACAGAACCAGAAAGGAAAAAATGGGGCCAGCAAGGCGGGTCATGGGCAGTGGGGACCCAGGGGCTCTGCCACCTCGAGCACCTACCGCAGGGCCAGGCTCTCCGGGGGGACCGGGATCTCCAGGAAAACCGACCGGGCCCTGAAACAGAGGAAGAGAGGCATTGGGCCCCTCAGCAACCCGGCCTGGAGCGCGCTGCCCTGCGTGGCTGCATCCAGCCTGCCGCCCTGCGCCGTCCAGCCCCAGAGCATCCCACTAGCTCTGACACCTCGGTGCCCTTCACAGCAAGAAGGCCTTTCCAGAACATCCTCTCACGTGAGCCACACAAGCCTGAAAGCGAGCAGTGCGGGCCAGCCCTCTCGATTTCTGTAGGCCCTCAAAGGGCAGGCTCTTGCCCACACTCTTGTTCCTGGAGCCCCCGGCTGGCACTGGAAGCTGGACCTTTAACCCCTAGAAGGCGCTGCTCTGCAGACCCTCCTGATGCAAAGCTGGGGCGGGCTGCAGGAGGGGAGAGGGGCCACACAGACCCTGCTCCATCCAGAAAGCTGCCTGGTCCACAGACATGGCCCCCGAGGTGTCCCCCTCGCCCCATGTCTCCCCTCTCCCACCTCCACTGTTTTGGTTCAGGAGCTGGTGTGGAAACCTCTACACCTTAGGAAATCACCCCAAGACCAGCGATGGTCAGGCAGCCTCAGCGCACTGCCCGTGAGTGAGGATGATCTAGGGCCCCCCTGGCATCTCCCAGGTACTCACGGGGCTGCCTTTGGGACCGTCGTCTCCGGGAGGGCCCTTGGGTCCAGGGGGTCCAGCAGCACCTGAAGGGCCCGACTCACCCTTCTCCCCCCTTTCGCCTTTGGGTCCCTGCGGGGAAAGGCGGACACCATGTTCCCAGAGCCAGCCTTGCGGCTGCCTCGAGCAAGAAGCTGGCTGGAGGTGTGCTCCTCACGGGCACCGGGTGGGAAGGGAGCACCTGCCTGTGGCCGGGCCTTGGCCCCTGTGGGTGCCAGCGGCTTCCCGAGCTCCGCCAACCCTCAGCAGCTCCCTGCGGGAGTCTGGCTCCCCTGGGGCCGTGAGGGGGCCCGAGTAGCCCACTGGCTTCCCAGGGCCTCTGAGGCCGACACCCGGCTTCTAGGTGGGCAGGGTTGACTCCTGACGAGACAGCAGGCAGCGTGGACCCCGAGGGGCTGCAGGGACCCAGGCCGCCCACCCACTCAGTGGTCCTCAGGTGGAGGGAGCCCAGGAGACCTCTGTCCACCAGCCGTCTCCTGGGCCGGAGGGCCGTCCTCAGGGGGGCCTCAAGAGACGGCTCATCCGACCTGCGAAGGTCTGCATGTTCCAGGTCTGGGCTGACCAGGTGACAGCGATGGGCCCCACATTTATGGAAGCCAGTGAGAGGGTCCTGGAGCACCATGGACGGCTGTCCTGGGCGTCCATCACTACCGTCTACGCACACACGCGGACATACGCACGCACGCTCTGGACGGCTGTCCTGGGCGTCCATCACTACCGCCTACACACGCACGCGGACACACACGTGCACGCACACACGCTCAGGACGGCTGTCCTGGGCGTCCATCACTACCGTCTACGCACACACGCGGACATACGCACGCACGCTCTGGACGGCTGTCCTGGGCGTCCATCACTACCGCCTACACACGCACGCGGACACACACGTGCACGCACACACGCTCCGGACGGCTGTCCTGGGCGTCCATCACTACCGTCTATGCACACACGCGGACACACACACGCACGCACACACGCTCTGGACGGCTGTCCTGGGCGTCCATCACTACCGCCTACGCACACACGCGGACACACACATGCACGCACACACGCTCCGGACGGCTGTCCTGGGCGTCCATCACTACCATCTAAGCACACACGCGGACACACACACGCACGCACACACGCTCCGGACGGCTGTCCTGGGCGTCCATCACTACCGTCTAAGCACACACGCGGACACACACACGCACGCACACACGCTCCGGACGGCTGTCCTGGGCGTCCATCACTACCGTCTATGCACACACGCGGACACACACACGCACGCACACACGCTCAGGACGGCTGTCCTGGGCGTCCATCACTACCGTCTACGCACACACGCAGACATACGCACGCACACTCTGGACGGCTGTCCTGGGCGTCCATCACTACCGTCTACGCACACACGCGGACATACGCACGCACGCTCTGGACGGCTGTCCTGGGCGTCCATCACTACCGCCTACACACGCACGCGGACACACACGTGCACGCACACACGCTCACTTGCCATGGCACTTCTGCTCTTTTCCAGCAAGACGGTGAGGTAGGCACAAGAGGAGACATGACTCCCATCTCTGCCAACTGAGGCAGAGCAGGAGCCTCCCACCCAGGACCCAACCACGCCGCATCCCCTCCTCCCCCAAAGCCCACCCACTCACCGGGGGGCCCCCTTCGCCGGGAAGGCCAGGCTCTCCAGCTTCGCCGGGCTCACCCTAAGGAGGAAACATGATGTGATTACAGCAGCGATGAGAACAGTGGTTCCAGCGTCAGGCATTTAGCGAGTCGTCCCTGACATTGGGCTCGGGGTGGGGGGTGGTTAGGGGGCCGGGGGTGAGACGCGGTCACTGTCCTCTGACGGCTCCCAAGACTGGAGGAGAGACAGGTGAGGGACCCAGGGATAAAGCGGTGACAGTGACATACACAGGCATGTGACGCACGCAGAGTGGGCGCGGAGGGTACGTGGGGGCATTAAAGATGGCTTTCCCCAGGAAGGGATGCTGCGGGTGAGTTTTGGAGGACGATTGAGAGAAACCAGGTGAAAGGAGGAGGGGGACAGCTAGGCAGACGTGGACAGAAAACAGCACAACATCCTCCGTTTGCTGGCAGGTGGGACAGAGCAGGAAGGGCTAGAGTGGTGGCAGCCGAAGCTGGGACGTGCCCTATGGCGGGTGGGGAGGGCACGGGGAGAGCGTGCTGCTCTGAGCAGAGGTCGCACACCATTCGTTGGTGGTCTCAGCAGGTATGTTTCTCTGTGATTTTCCTATCGTAAAAAATGAGCAGCGATGGGAGACTTCTTTCAACTGAATGGCCTGATGTCAGAAAAAAAGTTCTGGAATGGTGTGAAAGGAGTGCAAACACAGGGGAGCACATCCATCACCATCCTTTTACCCCCAAGGAACTGGGATAAGTGCTTTAAAAGTAGTGCAAACTCCTGGGCCCAGGTGGAGTCAGACTCTGGTACTGTCTCGCCCGCTGCACGCAAATAAGGCATGTACACACGTGTGCACGTACATATGTCCAATGTGCTCGCATCATCTCCAGGGCCCAAGCCCTAACATTAACCAGATCAGATGAAGAGGACCCGGGGCTATGAGAAAACAGGATTTGACAGAAACGGGAGTTGAAAAGGTAGCAACTACCCACTTCAAGGAATAGATAACTATGTCTATCAGAGCCAAATCTCAGAGGAGGAGGTGGCGGGGCCTTTGCTGGTGGCTGTTATCATCTGGAAAATCTCCTGCGTAAGGGCAGGGCTCCCAGGTCCACTGCACACATCTTCTAAGTTTCAAAATGCATCGGACAGGAATGGCCCAGCAGCGCACCTGGACATCTCCGTGTACGCGGTGGACACATACACATGGGTACATGCACGTGTACACGCACACGCGTGCGCGCGCGCACACACACACGCTCGCACGTCATACACCGGGACAGTGATGGGGCGTGAATCACCTTCTCTCCCACTGCACCAGGATTGCCTATTCCACCCGGGGGGCCTTGCGGTCCGTCAGCACCTGGAGCTCCGGAGGGTCCTCGGGGGCCGGGGGGACCTGGGGGACCCTGGGAGAAGAAAAGCCATTGAGCCCAGAGAAAACACAAACGTCTACCAAAACAGCAACCAGCCACCATGGCCAGGTCTCCACAAGCCGGTGCCACTCACCATCTGACCCACATCTCCCGTCTCGCCCTTCTCTCCTGGAGGTCCCGGCAGACCCTGAGAACAGGAATCCATCAGAAACTCGGCACATGGGCGTGGCTCCATCCCCCCAACACACAACTTTCACCACCTCCCCAGCAAGACCCCAAGCCGAGCATTCAAAAGCCTCAGGAATGTGCTTTTCAACATACAGCTTACATATGAGCACGTCCCCAAAACCCCAAGTTTCAGAATTTGCGCAAGGAAGGAATTAGAGAAATATGCAAAGATTTATTGACAAGGTGCTTATTGAAAGTGTCCCAGAAAACAATAAACCCTAATGAGCCACCAGCAGGGAAATGTTTGAATCAATTATGTCACCACCATATGCTGGGACACAAGGCAGTGACTGAGAGTCACGTCTTCAAAAATAAATAAAAAGTGATGTGTTCCAAGAATGTTGAATGACATTTGACGCGACGTGTAATATAAAAGGAAGTGGGAAAAGCTGGATCCAAACACTCTATACATGCAGCACGAGTCGCAGTTTGCAAAAACCAAATAGAATTATGCATGTGCGTGCGTGTGTGTGTGTGTGTGTGTGAGCAGAGGCGTTTAGGAGGTGTGGAAAGGCACCACCACGTGCTGAGAAGCCATTTTCGTTTTTCTAACAGTTTATCTGTAGTTTCCAACATTTCTACAATGAGCAAATTCACAAATGTCACCGGTTAAGAGAAGTGAATATGGGTGTGTCTGGAATTCTGAGAATTCACAGCACGTCATGTATGGAGAAGCCCCTGAAGCCTTGCCTTAGCTTTCAGAAGACAGGAGGGAGGTGACAGGAGGGCGGGGCAGGGCAGGGGAGGGGAGGGGAAGGCGTCACAAAGATGCAGGAATCAGCTGACGTGGACCCCCAGCCATTGTGCAAACTCTGTTGTTACCTGCAGCCCCACGGGTCCCGGGGGACCGGGAAAACCTCTTGGACCTTCATCACCTTTCTGCCCAAAAAGGCCCTGCTGGCCACGAGGACCTGGCTCGCCGTCAGCTCCCTACAGGGAGATCGTTGAGCATGGTGAGGGCCAGGCACGGGGCCACATCAGCTCGAGGGGTGGGGACTCTCGGATACTCACAGAGGGGCCTGGCTGTCCAATGGGTCCTTGAGGTCCTGTGGGCCCAGGTGGACCCTGTGGGGAAGAGATAGAGAGAGTTGTTTCCTGAGTCACAGCTGAGGCCGAGGGAGAAAGGCCAGCGCACGCAGGGGCCCTGCAGCCAAGGTCATCGGGGCTGCACCCACGCTTGGCCGTCCTGGGCCAGGCTGCCGGCTCTGGAATGCGTGATGCTCTCTGTTCAACCCTGAGCATGTGCTGTCAGGGGCAGGGGGACAGCCACACTGATGTCCTGCCAGAGGCCACCGTGCGTCATCTCGGCCCCCACCACACACCCATGACACAGGCCCCAGAGGCCCTGTTTCAAAACGAGGCCCGAGATCACGTGGCTCATCCGCGGCCGAGCGAGGGACTGATTCCAAAGTCCACACCTGGCAGCACGATGCCTGCCCCCAAGCGTGTCCCCAAGCACATTTCACTGTTGGCACAGGGAGAGCGTGAGAGAGGCCAGCATGCTGTCGCTGTCCGGGGGAGCCTGACTGGCCCCGGGTTAACAGGGACGTGGTCACTGTCTGCCTGGGAACAGACACGCCTGGCGAAAGGGTCCACAGTGCAGGCCTCCTTCCATGGCCACCGGGCGGAGCTGCCAGCCAAGTGACAGGGTGTTTGCAAGAACGCACCAGTATTTCTAAAGCAGAATTTTTTTTTTAAGGGAAAATTAAGAGGCATTTGGTCAGGGTGCTGCCTCTGTTGGAATATCCTGCAGCCCTCAGCATCGGACGGCGGTGATTATGTCTGTGGGACCGAAAACCTCAAGGACAAAAGCGCTGAATCTGCCTTACTTCACAAAACCCGTGAGTGCTTTCTGCTCATCTGTCAACAGGGATTCTCTTACAGATACATGTTACATGCATACATGTGCACCTAACACATACCTGTGCATGCACACACGCATGTAGGCGCACGCACACATACAAGATTTCAACAGGGAAGGAAAGCCCAAAGCCCAGCTCTGTCCCCTCAGTTACCGGTGTGAGTGTTGTTATATTATAATGGTTGTTCATGTCTGTGATGAGTGTGTGCCACACCGAGCACATAGCCCTGTGCCGTGGCTCCATTGGTGGCCCTGCATGTGGCTCGTGTGGCCTCTTACCTGTTCGCCTTTGTCTCCCTTGCTCCCCTTCTGTCCCGGTTCCCCGATCTCCCCCTGTGGGAACATGTGAAAGACCCATCAGATGGTCCAATAATCATTTGCACGACATCTGCCCCCCTTAATTAATTTTTCTTGGAGAGTAAGAATGATCTCCTCTCCAGGAGGCCCTATAACTTTCCTAAGAAGAAACGTTTCCATATATTAATTTGATTTCTTTTTTAATAAGAGAATTAAAAGGGATGAGGCCTTGATCTTACGCTTTGCAGGACTGTACCAGATTTGAAAGTGTGATAAAAAATCGTAATGGAAATATTTACTTTGTCAAGTTGGATGACATGACAGTATAATAAAGACAACTCAATAACTACGCTTCCAAAGTTATTAAAATCTCTCCAGTGTTTCTGCTGTGCAGGGTTGTCTCCCACCCTGAGAGGCAAGGCATCATCGCTGCAGAGGTGACAAAATCGGAAATGCCACCGGAAAGTTCTCATAAACAGAAAGTTAAACCGAAGAGATAAATTTCACTGTCTTCATTAGATGGAGGATAAAATACAAGCTACGGCAGTAACAGCGTCAGGATTAGAAAGCACGTTCTTAATGGAAGGGGGCCTTGATCATTGAAGTGGAGACATTTAAAAATAGACATTGAGTAAAACCTCATTAAATCAGGCCCCACAGATTTAGAATTTGAAATGATTGAGAGCATTTCCCTGTGCTCTGGCTGCTTCAGCAAATGTCTTTGGCAACAACAAAACTATACAAGAGAAAAGCAGCGTCTAAGTCCCCTCAAGCATGTCAGAGATCTCATTTATTACCATTATTTGTGAGCTATTCCAAAATCATCCACTAACGCCAAGAACGTCGGATGGCAGCATGGGGTCCCTCTGTCGCCAGAGCCCCTACATCGCCTGCATCCCTTGGTTTAAAAGGAACCCCCACCCCGGGCTTCCCTGGTGGTGCAGTGGTTGAGGGTCCGCCTGCCGATGCAGGGGACGCGGGTTCGTGCCCCGGTCCGGGAAGATCCCACATGCCACGGAGCGGCTGGGCCCGTGAGCCATGGCTGCTGAGCCTGCGCGTCCGGAGCCTGTGCTCCGCGACGGGAGAGGCCACAACAGG